TAATACAGTGCCATCTGTACAAAAATAAAGTTTAATAGAAGCCTATACTATTTAAATACCAATAAAGTGGGTTTTATTATGATTACCATGAGATAATATAATATTATGGTTGCATGAAAAGAGCTTTTACTGTTATAAATACAATGATTTTAGAATAAACAAGAAACACGCGAAACAACATTGTCATTATTGAATCCGGTCAATCGCAGCGCAATTTTCGTCATCAGAACTGGACCCGTGCCCCGGCGGAGTCATTAGTATACTCTTGAATCACTCTCGCTGTATGATGCCATACGTCACAGTGACGTGTCGTCGGCGTTGTCTCACGTTGGACAAAATTTCGAACCGGCATGCACTGCCTCAAGTTAGACGCCGATTGGTCTGCACACCACTGCATGAAGTTGAACACACCTAATAGTTTTATTTATCATGTCCAATATGACTGCTCATGCACAAGTGTGGGTGTGTCCATTTCTGATGTGGGTGTGTCACTGCCCTAAATTGGTGTATCTCGAAATGCACTACTGTATTCATCGACGGCTACTTCCTGTCGTGACTCACACAATGTAAATGAGTAGATAGACTTTATTCTAAACAGCAGGACCTGAAGTAGGCCAGCAGTTTTCCTTTCTCAAATGCTAATCAAAACGTCTGTCAGCAATCTACTCCTCTCTCTCTCTCTAGAGAGTCGTGGCTGACGCCGGTTCGCCACAGGGCCACTGAGCGCCATTGTTTCATCCGTCAAAATGTCTTTTCCCCCTCATTTTCACAGTTTTTTTTCAATCCTGTCAATTGTTCTTCTTTTGCTTTTCGGTTTCACTCGAGGTAAAGCCGAACTTCGGCTCTGAATGGAAATGTAAATGAAGCTTTTAGACTAAATGCACCTGGCTGAGACTCCGTCCCTTGCGACCCCACGCCTGGCAGACGGAGGAAAAAACACAGCCGCCAAATTGTGTTCTCGACAAAACAGAGAACAACAGACTCCAATGGAGAAACAACGAAATGAAAAAAGTCAAATGGTACAAATAGGTAATCATTTCGAAAATAATGCATAGCAGCAACTTACGGAAACTCAGAAGACGTCAAGCTGTATGTCAGACGTATCATGTTGGCCTTTTAAAATATGCTCAAAACTAACAAAAAAGCAGCAAAAACAATGTATTCCTAAAGAAAAACACCAGTGTATGTGTGTTTGTTCAGCGTGTATTGAGTCACTCAGCTGGGAATCGTCGTTGATCATGGATCATATGGAGAGATAAAGACCGCCCACCCGCTGATCTCCCACAATGCACCTCACAGCCTGAAGTCATCAACAAACAATAAACAGTCTCCACAGAGATCTGCTCCACATCCACCAGCTTCAAACAAACACACCTCAAGTCTTTCTTCTGAATTTTCAGAGCAAAATCCATTCAGCACCTCTAAATATCCCGGGAAGTTTAATGTCTTCAGACTGCCAGCAAAAAATCAAACTTTTTGCATATTCAGATTTTATCCAGATGGGTTTTTGAAAGCCTGGAAAGTAATAAATCTGGTCTCCAGATGCATCTTAGTCTGAACCCTCTGGCTGCTCAAGTCGGATTTCAAATCGTCTTTTGCGTCACTCGTCTTTTGCAAGGTGACACTGCGGCAACGTCAAAATAGGTAATGGGAATGCGTAACGCACATACATTCATACCAGTTTCCTCAATTCCAGAGTTTTTCTTGAGCGATGGAGGAGCTCTGCACACCAGGCCACTTTATTTTGAGAGCGAGATGATGCAGCTCTATTTTTCTATTTATCTATTTTGAAAGCCTAAATCACATACTTGGGTGTGCAAGTCATTACCAAAACAACCCATGCAGATATGTAGGGTATGTCCCCATCACATATCTTAGCAATCATCATAAATTAGGTATAATTCAAAAGCTTTAACACTTATCCTGTGAAAACCGTTTTGAAATTGGACATTGCCTCACCATGTAAACGGTACTTCAAAACCATTTATAGGCCTTTTTGTTTTATCAACTTCAAATATGGAACGCACAAACACATTTTGTATAAAATAGAAAATGTTTAATACATTTACTTTACAGAATGAACTTTTTTTACACTTTCACTCTAATAATCTGCTGAGTGTCTTCTTTAAAAGAGACCAGGGTGGGGGGTGAGAACAGGTTAATAATATATATTTACTAGGGCTGTCAATTTAACGCGTTATTAACGGCATTAATGCAAACCCATTTTAACAGCGTTAATTTTTTTATCGTGCGATTAACGTTTTTTTATCGTGCGGTCTTTTTGTCCTAGCAAACTTTGCAGTTTTTTCACATGCTTTTGCAACAGGGACGCGGCATGCGTCCTGATCCATTTCGGCGTCTCGCGCTCGTCATCCACTCAAATTCGGCTCGCAAGCCGAAACGTGTGTTTGCGGCGTGCCTGTTGTTTTGTTTCCGGTCTAGATCCGCTTGCGCTTTGGTCGAAGAAGCAACAAAACGTCCTTGCGCGGCGAAAGCCATTGAAATGACGTTTTGTGCCGCACAAACTTATTTCAGCTTGCGAGCCGACCAAATAGTAACATTACTTTTGAGCGGATGACGAGCGCGAGACGCCGAAATGGGTGCCCTAAGATTCTGAATGGAAAGTTTACTTTTAAAAAGTTGCCATATTGTTCCATTGACAAGACCAAGTGATGTGTGTTTTATCGTTGTGAACTGAGCTATCATCATTGCAGCACGTCCTGTCTGAAACACCACTTGATGATGGCCAAGCAAACACACACAGATGATGCGAATTCTCCACCCTCTCACCAATATTTAGGACCTCGTCAGTATTTCTTTCACCCTTTTATTGATAGACAGTGTTACGTTGCATGAGAGATTATTAATATATGTTAGTGTGAAATTGAACACTATTCCAATGTTATTTTCAATAATAATTTTTCCACTTTTCCATATTGATAAGAGCATTAAAATGAGAAAAAATAAATGTAACAAAAAGAAATCAAGAGACATTTAGAATAGATAAAAATGTGCGATTAAATATTTTAATCGTTTGACAGCACTAATATTTACATATTTGGGGAGTGTTCGTAATACTGTTATTCATTTGTAAAACCCTGAATAATTTTTAATGCCTAAATTGTTGTATTGGAAATGGTTTTACAAACAATTTACACACTGAGGTGCGTTTCCCAAAAGAATGGTTAGCCAACTATGGTCACAAGTTCTGTCGTTATCAACAGTTCAACGAGTCAGTATTTCCCGAAACCATAGTTCCAACGAACATTCGCAAACAGCATCGCAAAGTCGTGTGGTTGGAACAACAGCTCCAGTAACCTGTGGTTACAACCATAGTTTCTTGTTTGCATGACATGTGGACTTAATGAATCCTTATCTTGAGTAAAATAAGCAAGCTGGCATTCAGTACAATCTATTTTGAATACATACAAATGTCGTTTACGTCTTTTAATTTGTCAAGAAATGTAAAGCATCGTTTTTGAGGTGTTCATGTGTGTGAACTATGAGCCTGTGATTGAATCTGGACATAAAGCAAAATAACTGAGAAAAAAAAAGGGAATTAGTCCTCAGATGCCATGTCCTTAATTTATGGCCAAAATCTAGTTTTAATTTGATCTCAAATGTATTCATTAAAAAAAAAGGTTATTACTCCACCACTTGCGTGACATAATTAACCAACATGGTTGAACTACAAATTTGCAACAATAAGGTTTCAGGAAACAGTCGTGAGTGGCTAGTTGATTTATTTTATGGTATTTACGCAGCGAGTTATGTTGTTGTATGGAAAACACACCCCTGATCATCTGTGCTGCATCACTGCTACAAACAAACACACTTCACATCTTTGTTCTGATTTCTTCATCCCTTTCCTGGGAAGATTTAGATCATATCATTTACAGTTTCTTAGTCTTAGAAGAAAAAAACAAAACACTTATACCTATATTAGGGCTGGGTATTGAGACAAATTTCACAATTCGATTCGATTTCGATTCACAAGCTAGCAATTCGATTCGATTACGATTCGATTCGATTCAATATATCGATTATTTTGGATATCAGTTACAATAAATGGCAATTTTTCTCAAGGGAATCAAATCTCTTAAATGCTGTAAACTATGGGAGTCTAGTTGTAGCCAATAGGCTTCATTAGCCTAATATGAAGGTAATAATTAACTGTTTTGTAGCTATACAGACACTTAAATTACACTTTTATTTATTTTTATAATAAGAAGATTATATGAAATATAAACATTTAAATGGTGGCTGTCATAAAAACTTGCCAGATTTATTCAAATATGCATTAAATATTGAAGAACACTAACGAGTTTATGTACGTTTTCTGAGGTAAATATGACGATACATGACATTGATTACAAGCTGTTTAATTGACGTCTTTCCACGGTTGAAACGCTGATTGAGGGAATCACTGTGACATGATACGGATTTCGATAAGTTGTACTCTATCTTTAACACACTTTCAGATGCTCATTCATGTTTATTTGGCGCTGTGACTGGTATTATTAACCCGGAAGAGAGATCAGCGCTGCGCTTCTCTGGAAAAACGCAATTTATGTTTTTGAATTTCTAAAGAAAATGGACGTAATTTAAAAATTGAGACTTTGTTTCATATCAATAGTAACAAAGGACAAAGATTATTGCGATGTGTTGGATGCGCGCAGCCGCGATACAATGTCTCATTCATTCAAATGAAACAGGATGACTAATCGATTCTTGAGATTTAAGAATCGATATCGGTTTGTAAAAATGAGAATCGATTAATATCGAGAAATCGATATTTATTACCCAACCCTAACCTATATATTTACATATGTGGGGGGTGTTCGTAATAGTATTATTGATTTGTAAAACCTCATTGTTGCAATGTGTAAATTGTTGCTTTGAAAACAATGTGCGGAGAGATAAAGAGATAAATCGCTGGAAACATCTTAGAACAAGTCTGATGTTTATATATCAGACGGGTGTGTTTAGAGAGCCACTACCTTCACGTCCACATGAGCCATGAGCACAGCAAAGTTGGTCAGGTGTGTGCAGGAGCAGGTGGTGTGTGTTCGGTTAGTTCCCAGCAGCCGGCAGTCCTGCGTGGACCAGAAGCCCATCATACTGCGCTTTGAGTAGCTCCAGAACGAACAGTTGGGGTTGAAATTCTCCTCGGACTGCTGAAGAAGGAAGAACAGCAAACTGCATTAGAGAGCAGAACACACAACATGGCCATGAAATAACAGGAGTTGCACTCGGGGGCCAAAATGAAGGATTTCATCAACAGAACTACTGCTTTACTGATCATGAAAGTGCAGGATGGATGATGATGAAATTGGATTAACCACATAAACACACACATCCTACACAGTCACTGTCATTTTTTTAGAGAAATGAATGTAAAAAAAAAAAATAATTAAATCTTGTTTAAAAACATCAGTAAAGGGATTCATAATGCAACAAAAGATTTACAGTTCAAATAAATGCTGACCTTTCTATTAATCAAAGAATCCTGAAAAAAGTATCAAGGTTGCCACATTCTGCATTTGCAGTTTTACTGTATTTTTATCAAACAAATTCAACCTTCTGTCGACTCAGTTATGATGCATTCATTTTGACATTTTCAAAACATTAAAATTCAAATTTTACACTGAGATAAGTTTTAGAGAACATCCAGCAAAGGTTTCATGTGTTTAATATGATCTGGTCTATTAGCACATGTGAAATGATTATTGTGTTTTATGCAATTCATGAAAAAATGACCAGGTTACTGCATGTTATTTATTTGCAGTTAGTTGCATTTGGTGCATGATGGGCATTGCATTTGGACCCTGTTCACACTGGACATGGCTAAAGTTTTATCTCATATGTTTATCATCACACAGTAAACCCATGAGAGAAAACGTGAAAAAAAAAAAAAAAAAAAAAAAAAAAAACACGAGATGATGTTTCTGACGATATAAGAGATTGCTGATCTTCACCCACGCTGAAATTATATGAATCTAGAGGTGGGCCATCAGGCGCTCAGTGGAAGGAAGATTTTAATATAGCAAAGCCATTCTCACACACACACAGACACACACACCAGGACAACCTTGATTAAACAAATCAAAACCATTGCCTGACTGATGTGAGTTTGCAGTGGATTGTGTAGAGAACTAATGGTTGACATTAGTTGAGTCATCAAGGGTTTACTTAAAGAGAATACATACCTCATACCTCAGGTCGTTACTGACCCGGGACATCATTCACTACCCTCCCCCTCATTCAGTTTTTATAAAGTTAGACATCAACCTTATTAGTATTCCTCAATGAGTTCATTATAAAATTAAAAAATAAATAAATAAATAAATATATATATATATATATATATATATATATATAGGGTCACTATCGTCCCAAATCTTACAGTGTAAGATTTTTTTTTTTTCTGCACAACAATAAGTGAATCTTTAAAATCCCTGTGAAATCAAAATTGACCCTATTCACTTTGTTAGCACATATTACTAGTCTTGTGGTGAACAATTAATCCAATGAATTAATTATATATATATAGCATGGTAATCTTTAATCAAAATCTGAAAAGTTACTTCCGGAAAAGTTACGTCTGGAATGTGTTTTTTCCCGACAACGTAGGTTTGACGGCTTGGGCTGGGAAACGCTTAACCACTCCCCTCAAACCATTAGTCAGCTATGAGCGAGAGATGGAGATGAGGAGCACTATAGAGTAAAGCCCTGCCTTCTGTTCAATATTCCGTTTCACTTGGAAATACGTCACAGCACTGGAGAAAAGTCGTTTGCAACTTCCGGTTCACGGCGACTTTAATGATTGAATAAGTGCAATTCACATTTATTCCACAAGGTGGTAAAGGCTGATGCACAGTGTTTAAAAAGCCCTCTAAAGTTCAGCTAATTGCATATAAAATAAATTTAAATTTCAGCATTTTGCAGAAAAATCTATGCAATGGATTTAAACTTTATAAAATGTGTTAAAAGGAGCAAAAGTGATTCACTTTTAATGGTGGCTGAAAGCATGATCAAACATGCCAAAATCTATATTAAACAGAGATACAGGTCATTGGGACATGCAGAGATCCAGACGTTTTGATTCTGCGGATATCGCTCTCCCTTACACGTCCTCCCACACACACAAACAGGAAACCAAGTTCCCTGGTCTCTCAACCTGTTTAATCACAGCTGGAGGCAGAGAATCTGTGTGTGTAATTTTTGTTGGGTACGTTTCAATAAAGTAGTTGGATGAAAAATAATTCAGGCATAAATGCTGGTGGTGTGACTGAGGGACCTGCTGTTAAAGCGACCATTTATTCATCACCTCTTCATCTGAGTTACCCAACCACACATACACACACAGTCCAGCACTCATGGAATTTCTTTAGAAAAGGGATGTTTCTATTCTGACAACAAATCTCACAGTGAACAAAACACAAACCGCATGTCTTACAGCCTTGTACCTGAATATGTCGGACCGTGAATATGACGGGGTCGGACAGGTAAACTTTGTTACTGTCTTTGTTGATGGCCGCTGTTATAATGGGAGAGTTGACGATGACAGAGTAGTTGGTGTTTAATGTCTCGCTGCTGAACTTCATGCTGGCGTTTTCTGTGGACAGGTATGAACCCAGATGCTTATACAGGACAAACGCCATCCGGATCTCACCTGAGAGAGACAGACAGAAAGACAGTGGCAGTTAGTTTTATTACAAATGTATTCTTTATTATGACAAAGTTCACATAAGTCGTATCAGTGATTCTGTGAAATCAGAAGAATTCTTTTGCCACTCAAAATAAGCTAAAGACTAAAATAAATTGGTCAATCATATATATATATAATTTAATATCATACAAGCAAGAGTGGTGTTTTTCCTTCGACATTTCCATCCATTTAAATATTTGAAAGCTAAATGAAATGTTTTCATTGCTGAATGTATCTGGCTGAGTCAATGACTGAGTCAATGATTCAATGCTTTGTTTCTGAACAATCAGCCGTTTTAAATGAATCGGTTGAATGAATGAGCCAATAAAGCACTCATTAAGTCACTTGTTTCATATTTAAAAGTATCATTTCATATTTCTGTATATAAAAAATGTATTCTTAAAACATGAATCGCATGACATTATGTAATTATAATTATAATTACAGAGTAATTGCAAATCATCTCACCAGAGCTTCATTAAACTGTTCAAAACCTTGGGGTCAAAAACTTTACTCTAAAAATGCTGGCTTGCTTTGGGTCAAATATGGACAAACCCAAAGTTGGGTTAAAACAACCCAGCAATTTTTAGAGTAAATGTTTTTGAAAGAGTATTTTATGTATAATATATATATATATATATATATATATATATATATATTATGTATAGTATATATTTATAGGCAGCATTTATCTGATCAAAAAATATTAAAATTGAAAATAAAATTCTAATTGTAATACATTTTTAAATGTATTTTTTCCCTGTGATACAGCATCATTACTCCTTTTTTCAGAGTCACATGATCCTTCAGAAATCATTCTAGTTGATCTGATGCTCAAGAAACGAGTCTTATTATTATCAATGTCGAAAACAGTTCAACAGCTTCATATTTTTGTGAAAAACAAATATAAATCTTTCGAAACAATGTAAATGTCTTTACTGACAATTTTGATCAATTCAAAATGATTTCATTTAATTGGTAAAAATGCCCATTGGAAATCAATCTAAGTGGGCAAATATCAGCCCTTAATGGAAAAGTAAATTTCTTTCACTGCGTGAGAGATTCAAGGGGAGCTCGTTTCGGAGATCAACCTCCTGCTAAAGCTTTTAAAAGCCAAAGCGACAGCATAACAAAGCAAAACTTGTTAAATCTGCTGTTGAACATGTACTGGGGTTCTGCGGCACGTTTCTTTACGTCTTCATTACCACATCATACAGAGCAAGCAGACATGGTCTCAAGCTGATCGAAATACTGTTTTAGCCGTTATATTAGAGAAAAAAGAGCAACGAAGTGAAATAATTTGAGCTTTGATTAGATGGGTTTCAGTAGATCATGTAATGAATACATAACACCCATAATGCTTTGTTCCTTTCGGCACCCTTTACTGAAAGTCACAAAGGTTTCGAGTGAGTGAGGAAAAAAAGGGAGGGAAAAAAAAATCTCACAACAGAGTCGATTTGATTCAGCTTTATTGAAATGTTATTAGCGCTTTACTGCCTCCTTTGACAGAGCTACAGTTCTGCTCGTTATTTTCATTTCTCTCACTTGCTTTTTTCGTGAAAAGAAATGAAAAAACACCCCCCGCCGCCTCCCCGCAGAGTCTGGGATCACTGACTCGCAAGAACAGACAACAATTTTTCCCAATTCCTGTTGATGGGCCGTTCAGTAACAAGCGTTTGGTGATGGGGGGGAAAACCTCTGATGAAGGAAACCAGTTTTATGGCAACTTGTTCATAAAAAGGGAATACGCACTGAGGATCTAAACTTATTAGCCCCCTATTGTATTTTGGAAAGGATATTGGAAATTCAGAGTTTCAGAGAATGGAAGTAGGACTAGTGTTCAGTTCGATTTTAGAATCATTGAAATACTAATTATAGTTTTAGTTAATGTTTTGAATTCAATTTTCTTTTCATTTTCATTTTAGTTAAAGTTCTGTTGTGTCTTTTTGTCATTTTTTTAAACCAATGCCTATATAGCTTTTATTACGTGTTTGTTAATTCACTTTTAGTTATTTTAGTACTTCAACTTAAACTAAACGAAAATGAACCTTTTATTTATGGTCACACTTTATTTTAGGGTCAAATGAACTTATAACTATGACTTTTGCCTCAATAAAGTCATATACTGTAATAGTAAGTACGGTAGTTGTTAAGTTTAAGTATGAGATAGGATTAAGGGATGTAGAATATGGTCATGCAGAATAAGCCATTAATATTTGCTTTATAAGTACTAATAAACAGCCATTATCCTAGTAATATCAAGCTAATAAGCAACTAGTTAATAGTGAGAATTGGACCCTAAAGTGCTACCATTTTGACTTTGACTTAGACTTTGAACTATTTTATTTCAGTTAAATTGCTTGTTTTTTCCTTAATGGTTTTATTTATTTATTTTTATTTTAGTTTAGTTATTTTAGTACTTTAACTTTTACTTAAATTTATAATAACCCTGTTAGCGTTACATATGACCACCCCGTAATGTTGTGACTTGTGAGCGTACCGTTTCTGCCGTGTTGTTTGAGAGTGTTGGCTGACAGGTGGATGGCGTTCCCTTGGCCTCCTGTCTGTGGAAACTTCAGATCTGGCAGATTTCCATCTGTGCTCATCCTCGCCACCTCCAGCTCTGAACAAAAACACAGACATGACAGAAAGTGAATGAGGACTGGGGAAAGAAACATCAGCGTGTTTAATATACTTGGTCCATCCCACTTGGGTGCTATTTTCGAAGTCGTTTGATGTCATACATTCATTAAATTTATACATTTTAAATAAATAAATGATATGTGTTTTTTTCTGAATTAACATAAGAACACCCAAATTATTTGAAAATGTGCCCAATTTTATGCTATTATTTGTTTTGGGCGATTAAAAATATTTAAAACGAATACATCTCTCTATCTATAAATGTGTTTATATGTTGTTCCTTTTTAATTATATGATTGTCTTGATGCCAGCCAATTGCTGCACTACAATTTTGAGTATCAATCCGCCTTTACCAAAAAAACACAAGAATACGCTGCAATCTAAGGCTACGGTCTCAATGCACGCCTTGGAGACAAAAATGAGTGCCAAAGTGCAAAATGAGTGCAAAATTGGGACGAATGTTGATCTAGAGTGATATAAAAGGCGCACAAATTCTGTTGGACTGTTCAGACTGAGGTCGCATTTCAAAACTGATTTAGTACCACATGTGGAAGTGGCCTAAATCAGAATCAAAAAGATCGCTTTTTGGTGTTCACACTGTCATGACAAAAACCAGCAACGCATTCTCATCCTAGGGCATCATATAGTGACGCTTTTGACAATGCGTATACATCCAACGGACATGGCACCCTTTAGCGTCAATATAACACGCTTCGGTTATGGGTAGGTTTAGGTCTGGGGTAGGGTTAGGGTTAGACCACTAGGAGGCGCCTTCTGGCCCATATATATCTGCGTCTCATATTGACGCTAAAGGGTGCCATGTGCGTTGGATGTATACGCATTGTCAAAAGCGTCACTATATGATGCCTTTGGATGAGAACGGGCTGCAAAAACAGATCTGAGTCACGAAAAAAAAAAAAAAAAAAAAAAAAAACATTTACTGTACCTGCAGTCTGAACATCTAAGATAACTAAATCCAGATATTTTAATCAAATCTGTAATTGAACTAGAAATGAATGATCGCTGTTATCACCTCACTTACAATTGTTACAACAGCGCATGAGTCAAAATTAACAATATTTTGTAAATTTCCTACAGAAAACATACATAAAAAATGTTTTTTTGTGTGGATGCCGCAAAATCACAACCATAAATGGACAACTTTAAAAGCGATTTTCTCAATGTTTAGATTTCGTTGCACCGTCAGATTCCAGATTTTCAAATAGTTGCATCTCAGGCAAATATTGTCCTATCCTAACAAACCATCAATGGAAAGATTACTTATTCAGCCTTAAAGGAGAACTCCAGTGCAAAATGAACCTTTGGTCTAATAAAACATCGGTACCTAGTCAATCGTTCTCAAAGTTTTGTTTTCATGATAATCGAATGTAAAGAGTTTTATCTCTAAAAATTGTTTAGCGTATAATGCTAGTAATGGGGGCACTGACTAATTAAAAAGAAATCGCTAGTTTATACCACTAACAAGGCTCAAAATAGCCCCACACTAACACAGTAACATAACGAGAGTCCATACATGCAAAACGAAGCATTGAGAACTTTGTAAGTGTACAGACAGTTCACTTCGCGTATACAGACAGGAGCCATCTTAAAAAATAGTCTCGATAAGTCGATCCCCGAACACCGTTCATACAGTTCAGATCACTCAGCACGACGTTCGTGGTTTGACTTATCGAGACTATTTTTTAAGATGGCTCCTGTCTGTATACACGAAGTGAACTGTCTTCATAAAGTATCTTCTTATTAAACGGTCTGTACACTTACAAAGTTCTCAATGTTTCGTTTTGCATGCATGAAGCCTCATTATGTTACTGCGTTAGTGTGGGGCTATTTTGAGCCTTGTTAGTGGTATAAACTAGCAATTTCTTTTTACTTAGTCAATGCCCCCATTACTAGCATTACACTAAACAGTTTTTAGAGATAAAACTCTTTAGATTCGATTATCATGAAAACAAATTTCAGAGAACGGTTGACTATGTACCGATGTTTTATTAGACCAAAGGTTCATTGTTTGCCGGAGTTCTCCTTTAATATGATGTATAAATCTCAATTTCATTGTGACTGGTTTTGTGATCCAGGGTCACATTTGATCAATATCAACTCACTTTTATACTTTTAAACAGCAGTAGTTGACAATGAATGCAGTGTTGTGAACTGCATATGCAACACATATGACATAGAAGCATCAATGTCACAAACTTGCGTAGAGTCGGCACTTATAAAAAAAGTTCAAATGGAGAACTCATGCTGTGCTGTTTGCTCAAATTAAAGCATCATGTGCTGTTTGAGATTCCAACTCTGATTCAGCACAGCTCTCTAATTAAAGTATGAATGCACTGACTCGCTGCATCACCACCAGGCCTGGTTTTTGCAGCTGCCTTTTTGGACAACATCCTTTCACAGAACCTGAAAAGAAGTCAGCCGCAAAATCCCAGAGCATTTACACAAACACTTATCGCACCAAAATTAACATTAAAAATCCCAACGGAGACGTGGATTCGGTTGCGGGGTGGCGCTTACCACCGCTTCAGGTATTTGCCGCCAACAGGACAAAAGAGAGCGATAAAGAGCCGTGGGCAGAAAGAGACGACTATTATTGCAGGCCGGAAACATTTTTTCACTCCTCCGCCGTCGCTGTGAAAAGCTTAAGACGGCAAACAGCGAGCTGAGACGCTGTTGTGCCTCAAGAGAAATCAAAAGCCGGTTTAAATAACGTTAATCACACAAAATCTGCTCGCCAGATTATGAGCGCGAGGACAGACACTGAGCACAACAAACAAACACACTCTCCATCAAGAAGGAAAATCGAAATAGAATGGTGCACTGTTTTTTAAAGCGCATTATATTAAACCGAAAGAGGAGGATAACAACCACTTCAGGGTAAGTTGGCAAAAGATGAGCATCCATTCTCACACAGAAACAGGCTTTTATTTCCCTGAACAACTGTGTCATCAACACTAACATCAGATGGCAACGCCGCTAATCTTCTCCCGATTCTCCACATGGCGCGACGCTGGCGCTCTGTGCCGCCTTAAAGGATAGTTCGCTCCAAACATGAAAATGCTGTCACCCTTCTCACTCTCATGTTATTTGTGAGATGGATTCGTTTACAAATCATGCACTAAGGTAAAAATGTTTTGAGGTCATAGACAAGGAACCACACAAAAATAAACCTTTATTTATCGATATATTCGCATTTAAGCTAAATCATAATCTGTGTGAAAAGTGATGCAAGTTGTTTTACTGACACTTGAGTTCATTTTAACTCCAGTCAATATGTAGGTTTTTTTTGTTGAGGTTGAGTTAAGTAGAGGCACGTTTTTCCAGTGAGCCTGGGTTGTGAACATAACACCTTTAGACACATTGTGCCAAGTTTAATGTCAAACATTATTGTTTTTGCATGTTTCGGCTGAATAAATCTTATATTTCTGTATATTCCAGCCCGTTCTCATCCTTTAGCGTCACATAGAACGCTATATTACAAAACGGCGCTATACTACGCACATTGCACCCTTTATCGTTAATATTCACGCGAGCCCAAGGCGTCATAAATCCTTTAGCGTAATATCAGAGTACCCTACCCTACCCCACACCTAAACCTAACCATCACAACGCGTGTTATATTAACGATAACGGGTGCCATGGACGTAGTATAGCGCCGTTTTGTCATATAGCGTTCTTGTATATTCCTCACAAAATGTCTTCAAAAGGCTTGGAAAAGAGTGCAAATCTTGCATGGGCGACACATTGGAGAATATACGACTGCTTTTCGGAGCTTGACTGCACACTTGTGTAAATACCCTGGAATACGTTTTACAAGAGAATACCGTTTCAGTCTTTCTACTTTCAAATTCAGTGTGTTATTTGTAGGGGTTTAACGATACCCTCATGTCACAATCCGATACAAATTACGATACTGAACTCACGATACGATATTACCGCGATACTCCAAGACATATGATAAAAGGTTAAAGGAATAGTTCACTTTGAAATAAAGAGATCATTTCCGGCGCATTCCAGCGCTTGTGCAGTCCGAAACGCCCGTGCCTTGAGATCACTTGGACGTGGCTGTGGTTACAAGAGGTAAAAATTATATAAATACTGTTCGTTTTCTCACACAAATTGCTCGTTTTGTGTTTTAGGCCATCAATGTGTATTTACATTTACGAGTCATTAAATCATGTTTAATTTGGACTTCTCTGTGCATGTTCTTTGAGGTGAACCCAGGGTGGAACCCCTAAACCTCCATTATATGACTGACAGACAAGAACGGTTTGACCTAAAAAAATATCAAAATTGAAAATACTGTGGAAACAAAGACACCTACATCTTGGATGCCCTTGAGGTAAGCTAAAACATATCAAAAATTAATTTCAAATTGAACTATCCCTTAAACAAAAAAATGTACTGTTGATTCAAGTGCAGAATTTGCTATTACATTGGGGGTTAGAATAGGCTTTGACTTGGTGTTGATAACCCAATGCACAGCACAATGGTGACACCAGAATAAAAATATTCATGATTCTGAAGCTGAAAATACAACTATTTTAGACAAATATGCTTGCACTCTGTCACTCACTAGATATATATAAAATAACATAGGCCACTTTTTACACACATAATCCCTCAATGCATTATTATACATTATATTCAACATTATAGTAGGTTACTGACACTAAAACTGAAAACTTCTCACACAGTATTTTTTATTTTGGGTGAACTATCCACGATACATATTGTTGTACTGTGATATATTGTGACATGATACCCCAGTTTCTTTGTAATTAACTGTGAAAATAGCATTTTCTGAGTGAAAACGGATTCTACATCAATTTTCTTTTTTTTCAGTGTTTGGAAAACAGCATCTCCTTGTGTGTTCCACCAAATAAAGTGACATGAGAGTGCGTAAAAGAATGAATTTTCAATTTCGGGTGATCAATTCCTTTAACTGAAGGCTGCTATTCAGCCCAGCAGAGCCAATGACGGACTCAGCGGCCCCGTGGGCCAAACAAACCTTATAACGCTGCAAACTAACCCCATCAAACAGGGCCTGAAGGTCTGCTAAAGGTGTCACAGCCCGCAGATTAATCTCCGTGCAGCACGAAGGATATAAAATAACCCTCGTAAAAAGTTTGTCGGGAGAGACTCTCTCGCCCCACAGAGCCAAGCTCCGGATCCCTTAATATCAGGATAAATCACATGCCAGACACGATAAATTCTGTTTTATTAATTCCCAAAATGCAACCATCTCCACAGAGAGGCGGCAGACCTAAATTCTGGAGTTTCCATGGCAGCCAGATTGTCTTAAATCCCCGTCTTTAGGAACGGGAGATACATCCGCTTTTATCCCAGAGGAATATACGCACGCACACAACACCATGATCTGGGGAATGCTGACATTCACACTGTGATATTCGCAAACAGATGCAAGCGGCACAGGAAAACGTGGGCGTCCTCAAAACGTCTCGTCCGATTCCTCCCCGGGCTGAGAAACGCATCGTAAACGACACTAAATTATCGCTCGTGGCATATGCTCACTCAGCTTTTCATTTAAAAATGCTTAATTATGCCTCCCAGTAAAGAAAATGAAACGATTTACAAACGCAAAGTAGTCAAATCCATCTGTTAATGATGTATTCAGAGAGTGGTATGACATTATCTCCAAGGGAAAACAGGTTTATCGGTGTGTATCAGGGCTGACGGGGTCCATGGTCACAGCTGAGCTGGGCTGTGATGATTTCTGGTACTGGCAACCTCGATCACAATCAAAAACAGACGTTTTTCCATGGATAAGGCCCACTTTGATGTCACGTTGCTTTTTTTTTGTTTTTTTTATGCACCACCTTGTAAGTGACCATTTCACACCTGTTTCATTTAAAACTGTTACAAGTTTGACAATAATGATAAAATGATTAAGAAAATATTTTTTTCAATAGTTTATGAGACGGAGGAAATCATCAAGGAAATGTATTTCCTCATAATGTATGAGAAAAATACATGACAAAATGATCAAGCAACTATAATGTATAAAAAATATACATTATATCAAGGAAATATATTTATGCAGCGTATACAAATATATTATTGATAAATCTTCTTTCAAAGAAGATTTTATGTCTCTGTAATTTATGAAAAACAGATGAAAACATTATCAAGCAAATATATATATATATATATTTTTTTTTTCTTTTTTTAATGTAATTTATCTCTCATAAATTACAGAAAAAATTATATATATATATATATATATATAATAAATGTAAATGACAAAATGTTCAGGCAAATATTTTCCCTGTAACTTATGTGAAATATAAATGACAATGTTTAGGCAAATATTTTCCCTGTGATTTCTGTGAAATATAAATGACAAAATTCAAGCAAATATTTTCTTTCTGTAATTTATGAGAGATGTAAATGACAATGTTTAGGCAAATATTTTCCCTGTGATTTCTGTGAAATATAAATGACAAAATTATCAACCAAATACTTTTCTTTCTGTAATTTGAGAAATGACAAAATTATCAAGCAAATATTGTTTTCTTCAGTAATTTATGGGAAATATATATATATATATATATATATATATATATATATATGTACAAGAGCGCTTATAATCTTTAGTTTGACCTACTGATGTTGACAATTAACATGTTCTGAAGGTTGAGATAAAAACAAAACCAGTTTCAGACCTTTCTGTGTACCCTTCTCTTGCAAAGTGCTGCCTACAGTCCACAAAACATCCTCACTCCAACATAATTAATAAAAGAGATAAGTCTGTCATTTGAATGTATGATTATGGTATTCTAGAGATACTTAATCTTGACTTACATCCATGTAGCTCAAACAGCAAAGCATGCCATTAGCAATGGCAAGCTCATATGTTGGATTCCCAGTGAATGCATGAACCGATAAAATGCAAACCCTGAAATGAACATAAGTAGAATTTGCCAAATCCATAAACGTAAATGACTTACGGATGTTTTCTGTGTTTTCCTGCACAACGTCAGTTTTGAGCAGGTTGTCAGCGAGCACAAAAGCGCCCTGCTCTACGGTGTCCAGGAGCATGGTGGCGGCCCGGAGCTGTTCGCCGGTCGAGAGCCCCATCCACGCCGCCCGCGCCTGCGGCTGCAGAAGGTTGTTCACGGTTTCCACCATTGCCTGCAGTGGCAAAACAACATTAGCAGTCAGATGCAGCTAGAACATTGTTAAACCTGTCAACAGCCTAAAAACTAGCTACTGACAAAATTAACATTTAGAAAGGTATTTTGCTGGCGAATCAGCGTTATTCGGCTAGTCAATTCAATATGAGGTCTGTCAGGATCAGTGTTGGGGGGGTAATGCATTACAAGTAACATGAGTTATGTAATCAGATTACTTATGGATGTAATGGATTACTTTTTACTTTTTGAGTTACATTTTTTTATTTTTTTCTCAGATTTATTGACTGACAGCTTTCCTGTCCACACATTGCATATTGAGAGAAATCAGGAGTAAGTCCAGAGGTGATGTGTGCGGTGTGTGAACATGATGGATATGGTAGTTCTGGACTAAATGCGAGCATGCATTTACTCATATCACATGCACAAAAACAGATTCAATTTTCCTCAAAATGAATAAAAACAGTAATTACACAAACCTACAAGAAATAAATGATAAATTTCACAAATATACCATATTATAGATATTCAATCTAACCAATGTCTTTTCTGTTGAGCAAAATGACTAGGTAAACAAACCATTTGTGTATTATTCATTTTATTTTACGTTTGTTTTGTTTTTATTGCTGAAATAAGAGTGTACTTTTTTCCTGCAATCCAGAATGGCAGCACAGCTAAAAAGCTTTGTTTAAGCTGTTCTCTCTACTGTACAGGAGTGAATTTGCATTTCCTTCAGCCTGAGGATTATTAATTTCACTTATGGTGACCAGATTACAGTAAATTACTTCAGACATTTCTAGACCCAACATCTTCAGAAGGTGATAACAAGAGCTGACCTATTCCGACAGAAGGGGAAAATAGGCCTAATACTGGGTTTAAACAAAACCCAACAAAGTGTCTGTTGTCATCTCTCAGTGAAGTGGCCTTTAAATATGGACTCAATTAACTGAAAAAATGAAGTGTAGAATGTTGGACATTTCAAGCACTCAACTGTCTCATCTTTAATTACATCAGAGTGGGAGGGGCTATCAGGCTTCAATGTTGAATGCCATACCTTACACCACATAGTGCATAGTATGTGCACAGTGTATAGGGCACTTTTGGGACACAACTAATGTATTGATTGGTCCTGTCATTGAGATGAATGAGAATGTTAACAGATAACTCTCTCCAGGTATTATGTAGTAGATGTCCTTAGTTTTTGGAAAACCATTTGCTATTGTTTACAATGGGTTTCATTGACTATAATGATTGCATGGATTATAGGCACTTCTCATGAAAAACGTCTGCCTAATTCACGACACAAGCAAACACTCATGAATTTGTTCTTAACCTTGCTGTAATGTTAATGAATTTGGAGCATTCAATACGAGCAACCACATGGCCGAGGTTTGTAATTTGCATAAATATCCCCAAACGTCTCCATATAAGGGCTTTCCGCACAAACTTTTACAGACCCAACAGATTACAGACCAGCTGTACATATGCTTATCTGCATTTTTACGCAGAGGAACCTCAGACGCTTGAGCTATAATGCATATTTTATAACTATTTTCCTGTATATGATACATGAACATACAGTATAATATAAAGATAAAATTTCATCTTAACACGGTTAACGCCACCCAGTATGTGATTTTGAGTATGTCTGCCTGGTTTCCTAATTTTTTTCATAAATTCCGAACTAAATTTAATATGAAATGTATGACATATGCACAATAAGTGAACGGCTTGAAAAAAATTAATTGATCGAAAGATGTGAAACTTCATTCCCATTGTACCATGTCTAAAACACTGGCAACAACATAACAGATGGTATACACACACACACACAGTCATTTAACACCTGCCTCTGAATTTCTGCAACGCCGGATATCAAGTTGTTGAAATCACTAACCAATCCGACACTTCAGCAACTGCTGCCTGTGAGTTTCACAAGACAAGAAGTGGACGCTCTACAGCGAAAGAGCTCTTCGCTAAAAGCTACCAATTCGGATGAGAAGACGGCGCTACAGCTGTGGCCGATCATTCAGCCCTTTAATAATATTTAACCTCCATCATCAAAACCTCATCACTCGGCTCAACACCAATACCGCCAATTAAACATTTAAAATGCTACGGGCGAAACTTCAACTGGAATGCTAATAAGGCAAAGCCTAAACATGTGCGGCGAATGACAGCTGGGAAACATCAGTTTTGCCAGAATGACTGAAATCTATTGAGAGGGAAGGACAGAAAAGATGAAAACAGAAGCTGAGGTTCACAGAACCACTCGCATCTTTTACCTCAGACTTTCAAGAGATGCTGATTTGCGCTCACTTCAAAGAAGATCCCCGGCCAAGGCTAAAAGTCGACATCTGTGGAATTTCCAAGACGTTTCATTTTCAATGCGCTCGAGTGAATAGATAAGACAACGCTCTTTATGGGAGGAGAGGTCCGGTATAATGTAGTATAAAGGACCGAGTGAACCCTTCGGCTCTCTGGGCTTTTGATCAATGGAGTATGAAAGAGAATATTCTTATGTAAACTTGCAGGCAGAGCAGAAGGTGAATCGAGGCTTTTGTACTGGAATTGAGTGTGCATATGTGTGTTTATGTAATCAAGACATCAATGTCACACTCCGGAGAGTCAACACTCACACATAATAGTGCTAATGCTGAGTGAATATTTCACCCAAACAACATGACACGTGTTGTTTTCTCACTCCAAACCTGATTCTCCCCTCACACAAAAGATGTTTTGAAAAGTGTTTATGCTTAAATTGAACGCATTATTCACTGAAAATGTTGTGCTATGCTGCAGCTCTCAGATCTGTCAAATTATTAAACGTGCCTTGTTGCAATAAGTGGCAAAACACCAACAACAAAAACCAGAGAGAACTAAATAGTGTTGTCACAATACAGTGGAGCATGTATGACATCAGTTTGTAGGCCAAAACGCAGAAGCGAGTTAGCATTTTAGCACTTCCGGTTTCATAGTCTCGAAGTCAATGGGTTTTTTGAATGGGATTTTGGTTAAATGGATGAAATAAGGACTGTGGTGAACTACAAAGCATAAGACACTTTCACGTTTTATTGTAAGACATAAAACACACCATTACCCCATTCGTGATTTTTTTGAAATGGTTACGTGTCTTGAAAAAGGCGGCTGCTAATAAGTGGCTAAATGGGATTACAAAGGCCACCGGGGACATTAAACGTCATCATGCAGAAAAGATAAACTCAGTCCGCTTTTACAGCATCGTTATGGTTATAACTGCGCTTGTTGAAAATGTTTTTAGATAAATACAGAGGGAGTGGTCGGAAGCTTAGTGGTGGTGACGTTGATGTTGAGCGAGTAGTTCGTTTATAGCCTCTTTTAGAGTTTTACTTCTGACGAATTCAGAAAACTTGTGTTCATCTGTGATAATTATCTTGATGGAAAAATGTGCAAGTATCATAAACTTTTGATGCTCAAATAGCTTGTTTTTAGCGATAATCTAAAAATCGTTTTGTCAAGGGAACTTCCGTGATGCTAACTGGTGGTTGGGCTACAAAGTGTCGTCATACCTGACTACTTTATACCAAATTTCAGTAGTCGGTACCAATTGAAACCCACCTCTTTTAACCATTTCAGTATTTTATCGACTTTTGACAACAGTATAACTCATTATGTTCTTCAAGCTTTTGCTCGGAAGAAAAAAAGTTCTGGGTCTTTTTTTTCCCCTGAAAGTTGGAAATGACAACGAGGGAATTTGTTGTTATTTTAGCATTAATTATATACTATTGTAGTTTTATCTATATTTTAAATTAGCATTTTTACATTTTAGATACAATTGTTTTAATTTTGTCATTATTTCGTCATATTACTCATTCATTTATTATTATCCTTATTATTTTTTATATTACTATTTAGGTTTCTGTCATGTTTATGGACATTCAGTTTGTTGTCATCGGTTTTCTTTGTTCTTAGTTTGTCTGTCTTGACCTAATTTCTCAGTTCCAAATCATAATCCAAATCCAAACGAAATCCTATTCACAACCATATAGTAAGTACATGTAGTTCATTTATATTACTCAGCACTTAAATGTATAATTATACCGTAACACAGACACCTTAAAATAAAGTGTAACCAAATGTGTTAATAGTTCTAGTTAACAATAATGACCTTGCGACAGAAATACCATCTTAAAGGGGTGGTTGATTGCGATTTCACTTTTTTAATTTTAAATAGTGTGTAATGTTGAACTCGATTGGGACTACAACGGGTTTTAGACGTCACTAACCCAAACATTTACATCAACCCTCCCTCCGGAATATGCAAAAAAAAGGGCATGGCCATATTTCTGCGGCTCGTCAAGCGTGTTATGTTCACCAGCTGTCAGGTCTTCTGTGTTCGGGCTTCCCACGGACGCTGTAGTTCATCAACAATTTATCTCTCTGTGCAGCACATTTACGGAAGACAGTGTCCAGAATCTCAGTTGAATCAATTAAACACTTTAAAACCAGAGACAGCAGTTGTTGGGCCACAACCTGTAAGTAGGCTAGGAATTATTCATTGTAAATGTATTTGCATGTATAATTTCAGACGTAATGTTTTAGTTTTATCAAATGCCAGTGTAACCCCTACACCCGGGTCCCACTCGACCCGCTCCGAGTGGGCCTCGAACCTGGATCTCCGGCATGAAAGTCAGGCGCTCTAACAAGGAGGCTAAAGACTGCAGCCTCTAGCATCTGTTGCTAGAGCACCTATTGAGATCAGGGGAGTGAGGTTTACTCCCACAGCAACTACTAGCTGGCCTCCGTTACACCAGCGCTGGTTTTATAGCGACTAGGCTACTAGTTATGTTATTTTGTGTCTACGACAAACGCGTACAAACATTATGGACCTGAATTTTGTATATGTACTAATGTTGTAAATGTATTTTTCATGTATATATCCTTTATGATGTTATTTTTGATTTGATCAAGAACGTAAACCAGTGTCAACGCTGTTTGTGTATATAGTAGCCAGTCAGTTCA